CCTTTTTCACCACCCCAAACTGAAATTCTGTACCCATTAAACAATAACACCTTTTGCCTCTTTCCCTCAGCCCCTGGTTACCAGTATTCTACCTTCTTTCTCTTTGAATTTGACTGTTCTTGGTACAATCATTGTCCTTATGTGTCTGCCTTTTTTCACCTAGCATAATGTCCTCAGGGTTCATTCATGTTGTAGCATGTGCCAGCATTTCACAGAGCCTTCATTTTTTAATGTATTGAATTTTATACACATAGCCTTTGGGGGAAGTTAATTTTTTATTAGCCACAAAGCCGTAAGGAGTTTTATCTAAATAGATGCTGAGATCACCACTGACATCACTCACTCATCAGCCTTTTAAACGCCATTCTCTTCTACGGCTATTGCTCTGGCTCTGTCAGCTTTGAACTTTCTTTAGCCATTTTAGCAAAAGAGAGAATTTGGAAACACATCATCTTCTCAGGAGAAGGGAATTTTTATTCTGAAATATGTAAGCTGTTTAACTTATTAGGTGAAAATTTGAAGGCACTGACCTTCAGAAGTAGGGGAGCTGACTAGTCAAACAAGAAAATAATGTCTTTGGCAGCCCCATCTTATCTTTACTCCATCTCTGCCCTCCCCCAGATGTGGGGCTATTTTGAGAGGAGCCAGTCAAGTCTTGCTTTTTGTGCAAGCTTCAGGTGCAGCTTCTTGTCACTGGTAACTATCTCAACCTCCCTCCTCCTCCTTACACTCATCCCTAACAGACTTCGGATCAATCCTGCTCTATGCGTTTCAGCTCCTTCCCTTTGCCTAGGAATAAGGTCCCATCTCCTCACTCTGACTTATAGGACTCCATGTAATAGAGCCCCAGATTACCTTTCCAATCCAGGCAAGCAGGATTCTTCACTATTCTTATATATGTCCTGTATTTTCCTCCTTTGTCTTATTTCATGCTTTTTTCTTTGATGGCCACACCCTCCTGAGAGTCTTTCTCAAAATTATGGCCCTTTGAAAAAAAGCTCATCCTGAATAGCCACCTTGTCCACGAAACCCTTTCACATTTTTTCAACTCTACATGATCATTACCCCAGTAACTCCTTAAAACACGTTTATTCCCACATCTCTTCTCAAGTCTATCAGATTATCTTTGAATTGTAGTGATCCACAGTTTGTCTTAGTGCTTCAACTTAGTAGGCTGTAAGTTGTTTAAAGGAGGTAACTGTCCTGCTCTCCCTCAACACCTCACGCTGTGACTTGCACAAAGTAGATCCTCTGTAAATACATCTGTTCTATCATTTGCATGTTTACGTAGACCAGGTCCATGGCATTGCAACATTAAATCAGTCGTGGAACCAGCTCTAGCGCAGGTGAGACCTCTGGAGTCCAAGGGGAAGAAAGGAGAAGATAGGGCCAGGGAGGGTAGGAGACAGACCTGGGTGGTGGACTGGTGTCCACTGTTGGTTATTTACCCAGAGTAAGTGGAACATGGGTAACACTTTGCCGCATCATTGGTTTTTGTTGGTTACAGTGTTGGGAGGAAATGCAAAGGGCCTTAAATGCAGATGAAAAAATAAAGTGATATGAAAGTGAAAAGAAGAATCCAGATTTTTAAAGATCTGTACTTCCTTTTCCAACAGAGGAAGGGGCAAAATCAGATTACTCAGATGATTTCTGTAACTCTGGAATGTCCTCAGTGCTTCACAATGATAACGATTATGCTATTGTAGAGGGTAACAGATTTTCTGAGAAATTTTAGAAATTTAGGAAAAAATAGACACAATCTTAAGTTACTACCTTTTGGAGGGTAATTTTTGACTAATCCTGTACAGACTATATGACATTGATTTCTAGACTAGTTGCCTGATGATTTTTTAAACTATGTTATACTTTTAAAAATAATGTTGAAATCATATTTAAAGTTTCTGGGGGAAGTGGTTTAATGGTGGGCTTTTGTTCTCAAGTGAAAATTGCTACACTCAGTTTTTAGAAAAACAAATGTTAAGTTGATTCTAGATTGAGTGACACCTGTTTGGGAGGAGTGAAAAAGCACCTCAGAAATAGAGAAAACCCTTGAGGAGTGAATAATGAAGCAGGTTGCAAATTATAAGTATTTTCAGTTATTCATCTTAGAAGACTTGGATGGTAGAGCCACTGGCTATTATTTTAGGATTCTTAAAAGATAGAGAAAGTTCAGGTGGATTGAGAAAGAAAAGTTTACATAGTTTATTTTTCAAAAGGGACAAAGAGAGACCCTAGTCATCAAGGATTCTTGGACTTAAGTGCTAATCCTGAGATGAAGATTGTAGCTTGGATCCTCACAAAAGTCTCCTTGTGGTGTAGATATCTAGAGGCACACAGGATCCTGGAGAGAACAGTGTGGTTTTATGAAGCTCAGTGTGTCAGACAATTTTAATTTCCTTCCCTGACAGGATGACGGAACATGTAGCTTGGAGGCAAGGAATAGAGGCCATTTATCTGTCTCTTACTCAAGCTTTCAGTCCTCTCATACGTGGGATGCCCAGCAGCCAGCTAGGAAAATGTAAGTCGAACACTGTGTTTCTCAAGCTCCCAGCCCTGGAGAGCTTCAGGAGAATTTTCAATACAAGTATACATTCTTGAATAGAGGGTTTTTTTTTTTTTTGTGAAGTATTCTACCAGTTAAGAAGAAAAATACTAACTTGTTTTGCGGTAAAAAAAAAAAATTGTAATTGAAAGATCTGCTTATAGAATGACTTTAGTTTCTTAGGTTTTTCCAAATGGTTTTGGGTCCCCAGATGTATTTTGGAGGCTGTATTCATGGGTCCCAGCAGGAACCAGGTGGCACAATTAAACTGGGGAACTGAGAGAATTTACTGAAAGGACCATTTACAGAGGGATGGGCAGAATTTAGGGAACAACAACAGATGGTGTAGCTGGAATAAATGTTACCAGCCCTCATGTGAGGGATCCAGAGGGGAGCAGTAACCACAGCCTAGAGAGGACAGTGATGTGACTAGGGCCACCCAGAGGAGCGGTGGCCTGTGATAGGGGACACAGGTCTCCTTCCATGACTCAGCCTGAGGAAGGTGTACAAACCCATGAAATTATACACAAATTTGGGACTACATGTGTGAATGTGCCTTTTCCTGCTAAGTGGGTCCATTGATTGTATCAATGGTCTGAATCCCAAATGTTAAGAACTATGTTTTTAAACGAAGGAAATAAAATTCAAACTCACTTGTTACATTTCTGAAGTTGATAGTTTGTAGTCCTTGTTAAGTACCTATAGGGTGCAAAGCACTAAATAACATTCTATAACTAGGTAAGGATAAGCCAGAAGTTATCAGGTGCATTTTGGACCAGAGACTGAGTTTTACTAAGCAGTTGTTGTGTGTCGATTGTCTGGTGTGTTTGGGGCTGAAACATGGAGCAGAAGAGCTGATCATGGCTGTTCATGAGCCCACATAGCAAATTACACTGACACATGGTTGTCAAACAAGGTTGGTCAAGGGATGATATTTTGACAAAATTAACTTGACAGGCAGTCAGCTATGCATTTGCTTTAATTGATTGATTGATTGTGCCTGTGTTTTGGGGGGGGTTTCTTTTATATGTATTATCTACACTATACACACACACACACACGCATATATAATTCATATATATGACATATGTTTTAGTTAGCTGTGGATGTCATAACAAAATACCAGACTGGGTGGGTTAGACAATAGAAATTTATTTTCTTACAGTTCTGGAAACTAAAAGTCCCAGATCAAGAGTCCAGCTGATTCTGTATCTGTTGAGGGCTCTCTTCCTGGCTTGCAGATGGCCACCTTCTCACTATGTCCTCACATAGCCTTTTCTCAGTACATGTGTACATAGAGAGAAAGAGGGTGAGCTCTCTGGTGTCTCTTCTGATAAGGACACTAATTCTATCAGATCAGGGCCCCATCCTATGACTTCATTTAACCTAATTCCTTATAGGCCCCCATCTCTAAATATAACCACATGAGGGTTAGCATTTCAACATATGAATTTGGTGGGAGAGGGGAGTGGAATGACACAAAAATTTAATCCATAACAATATATATAAATATAAAAATGAATTGTATATATTTATATAAATATATAAAAATAAAATATGTATAATTATTTCACTTTTACTATGTGTCAGATACTATGCAAGTTGCTGGGGATCTAAAATTATTAAGGTAATGTTCCTTTTTTGGTGAGAATGCTAAAAATCTACTCTTTTAGGAAATCAAGTATACAATACAATATTATTAGCTATAGTAACCATACTGTATATCAGTTCCTCAAAACTTATGTATCTTATAACTAGAAATTTGCACCCTTTTACCACACAGAGCAATATCTCCCCATCTCCTGTCCCCAGCCCTTGGTAACCATTTTACTGTTTCTATGTGTTTGGCTCTTTTTGATTCCACATAAAATTAATGTTATACAGTATTTGTTTTATTCTGTCTGGCTTATTTTACTTGGCACAATGCCCTCCAGTTTCATCCATATTGTCACAAATGGCAGGATTCCCTTCCTTTTTATGGCTAAATAATATTCCATTATGTATATAGAACACATTTTCTTTATCCATTCATCCATCAACAGATACTTATGTTGTTTCCATATCTTGCCAATTGATGATGGATGTGTTATTTACTTGATGTAGTAGTCATTTCACAATCTCTGGGTTATAAAATCATCACACTGTACACTTCAAAAAATATATACAATTTTATTTGTCAATTATACCTCAGTTGGAAAAAAAAGGATACTGTTCTTGACATCAAAGAGTGAGAGTCGACTAGAAGAGCTTGACCTTTATATAACTGTTCCAGTGGAGATATCATCAAAAGACTTCCAGAAATTTGGCTGGGGGGCTGCCTGCCAGATTCACAGACTGTTCATTCTTTTAAATCATGGCTTTTGACCCAGGCTGAAAATCACTAGGGGAAATTTTTAAAATAGGGCTACCCAGTCCCACTCCCAGAGTTGATCATTTAACTGGTCTGAGATGAGGCCCCAAATAGTGTTTTTGAAGGCCTCCCTGGTGATGCTGACATGTACCAGTCTTGAGAGTGACATGGAGCAAATGCACTGACACACCCCCTAGCCCGCCCCACCTCCCGCACTCACACTGCACTATACCGTGGCCTCGTAGGACCAGGACTGGTTGTTGTTCTTCTGGTCATTAGTTCACATTTTATCTTGGAGATGCTGTAAATGTTTTCTCTTTATGAAGCAACTGCTAGGTAGCCTGGAGCCAATTTAGGGCCTGTTGTCTGCCAGTGCATGGGCTGTAGGGGATGCATCATGGTGTTAGCTTCAGACTTTGTGCCGACGACACCCCTTCCCTTCCTTTTTCCTTTTTCTTTCCCGCTTAGGTCTAATTTATACTATCTTGATGTGCTTTTATTTATCCTTGTAAGCTGTCTCTGATTCTTTGGGGGAAGAAAGAGGGATATAGATTTATAATGAATGAATGTACAAAGGAAAAAATATTAAAAATGCACATAAACACTGGTACATAGAAATAACCAGAAGAGTTTTTGCAAGCCTATCTATTTCTTGAATGGAGTTCTAGGAGAGCAAGGCTGAATGAGTGGGGATGGTGGGGTGAGAGGTAAGGTGAAGAGCTGGTTCCCTGATGTACGGTAAGCAGAGGTGAGTAGTGGCTGAATGCCTGCAGTGGGCAACTCTCCATGGCAGTTCAAGGGGAGAAAGGAGACATGAGACTCCAAAGACCAGCTGGGCAGCCATTACCCAAGTTCATAAAAAAGGATGAGTGTTCTCAATGCAGCATATACATGAGGACACATTGACATCTTCCTAGTGCAACTCTAGTTCTAAAGGAACTAAGTATGATGCACTGAGAGGGGATTAAACTTGGAGACCTTCCTGAAGGAAGTGAGTCTGGATTTGGGTTTTGACAGAGGGGAAAGCCCCATGCTCTAGGAGGAAACAAGAAGTTCTAGACATCACTGCAACGCTATACTGATGGTACAGGGGACTTTCCACCCCACAAAATGAGATGTGGGAGGGACGGCCAAGGAGAGCTGAGATGACAAAGGACTGAATAAAGAAAGGATGAGTCTTGCAAAGACTAGAGGCATTTTAGTGAGAGTTTATAGGGGAAACATATGAAAGGATTCATTCTTCCTTCATTTATCACTTATTGAGCACCTAGAATGAGGCAGGCACTGTTTGGGTGCTTGGGGGTACAGCAATAAATAAAATAAATGCAGTCTTTGTCCTCATGAACTTGATAGTCTAAGCACATTAATTAAAATAAAGACCCAAGCCATGCCATAATTGCAAGCTGTGATGAGTACTTTTAAGAGGCTGTAGAGAGTGCTGTGGAAGGCTGTGGCAGAGGCTGGGAAGACTCTGGTTTGCGGACCAGGAAGGCTTTCCATTTGTGGACAGGTTGGCGAAATCAGTTAACAGGACTTGGCAACTGGATGTGGGAATGAAGGAGACAGAATCATCAAAGAGGTTTCCCAGGTTTCTGGCTTGTGCGGCTGATACCATTTACTGAGATAGGAAATACTCATGCAGAAAACATGCATACACAAGTGCATATGTCCCACCCCCCACAGCCTTAGACAGGAGCTAAGAAGAGGATTAACTGTGATTATTTAGTTGTTCTCTCAATCATAATCTCCTCTTCTCTCAATAAAGAAGATTTTCCAGGAGTAGATAGATGAAAGTTCAAATTGAAGGCTTATGAAGAACACTCTGAAGTAGTTTCCACTTGGTCTAAAAAAATATGAAACAGTGAAAACCCCACTAATGACTGCAGTGTTATTCTACCTTACTTTGAGTTCTGATTCTGGTATTTGATGGTTAATTATTGGGATATCTTTAAAAATTGCACATCAAGCACACCTATTGCCATAAAAAGTCCCAAACCTGACTTACCTCTTAGGGGATTGTTTATTGTCATTGATTACAAGGAGGCAAAAAAAAAAAACTCTATCATGGTTAGAATTAAACTTTATTTGAGCCACAGCAATATAAATATATGTACACAACATTACATACTATTCGAGATTGGTAAGCCATCCTCCACTCGTCCCCCATCCACGCTTCCCAATTCCTAAGTGTATCAGCTTCCGAAGAACCTCCTCCAGGTGGCATCCACCCATATAGAGCATAGGGTACCCCCTAAGTCACACCATGCGTCCCAGAGGGTTGACCTGAATAGGGGTACAGGCAAGGTGCAGACAAGATCCAAATTTACCCAAAAGGATGACTTGAACTTCTTGAATTCAAGTCTAAATTCAGTTGATATTGACTCCTCAGCCTATGAGGTTAATGTTAAAATGAAATTTTGAAATTCAGCTTCTTCAAACACATTTCCGTAAAAGAAAAAAAAAGTTGCTAGAAGGTGATTTAATCATTTGTGATTTCTGGAGAAAAACGATCTTTCTTTGCATTTCCAAAGGTTTTCATTTGAAAAATCAATGTGTGATATAGAGTTGTTATATTTTGTGATAAAAATCACAAACATGAGCAAACCTAAGCCGCTAATCCTGTTCC